AGATTGTTGTTGACCAGGCTTACTGCAATTCTCAGGCAAGCACACCTCGGCTCTCAAAGTCTCCCGTGATCTCAGTTCCGTCCTCAGATGCCGAAGGCGAGTACAAACACATCGGCAACTCTTTGACTTCCATTCTCCAAGCCAAGAACCAAGTGGACCTACCGGCTGATCCCGAACCCTGGAGCCCTGCCAAGCCGAATACCAGGGTGCTCACCGAAAAGCGGTGAGTGCCAGGCCTAGGCAATGAGACACCAGCACTCATATCAGGCCCTCAAAAACAGGCACAGGCCCAACCACAGCAGAATTCTCCCAAAGGCCCTCAAACTCCATGTCGTCCGCCCAGTGGTATGTGCAATGACCTTCATGGATTCATGGCCACAGCAATCTTACAACCTTTGGCACGCGCTGCTGAGCTTGCGAACCATGCAAGTGGCCATCTTTGAAGGCGCCTTCCTTGGCCATGCCGCACAGCCAAAGTCGAGTGCCCAGACTGGACTGTCAGACTGAGCCGGCGACACACCAAGATCCATCTGGGAAGGACTTCTTGCCATGCCCTGCAAGTGCATAGGACCAACGCCTGCATGTGTGCGCACAGAAGGGCCTTCAACGCGGTCGCTCGCGAACCTGAGGAATGAGAGAATGTGAGCCCACATGCGCGCAACGTTTCAAGGCGGGAACTGACCCTCGTAGCGGGCACCGTCGGGCCAAGTAAGGCCTCAGAATAGGCAGTACATGTAATTAATTGACCAGGTGATTTGTTGAACCAAAAGAAGTCAAGTAAAGTCAACCATGCCAGTCTCTCTCGATCTCTCTCACGATCAAGTGTTTGGAAGGCAAAGCGCACAAGTTCACATGAAACCTCGCATACATAAAAACCCTTGTTTCCAGCAGCTTTGCACCTGGGACAGCGACAGCCAGTCCCATGGCGCTTGCCATCCACCCATTGCCCCACCTTCAGCAAGGCACACTTCATGATGGCACGAATGAAGCTGGCGGCCCTGCATAGGTTCGTCCATCTGGCCATGACATCTTGCCAACGCCACACCTTCAGCTGCGCCAAGGCCCAAGGTGCTCTGTATGATGCTGCTTGAAGGTGAGCGCAGTGCATAAGCCCATGTACCCAGTGGCCTGTGTAGACCCAGCCTAGCACAACGTCTAAGGCCAGTTACACTTAGCGCACCTGCGGGCACTGCAAGCCATAGTTGCTCTGACGGCACCCAATTAATCAAGAAACGCAGGGTTGTTCCTGGTTTCAGCCGAGACGGCGACCGTGGCTCTCGCAAAATCGAGCCATGCCTTCTTCTGCGCTCGTAAAGCTGCCATCCTTGGAATCTTTGCCGAAGGTAAACCCAACCACTCACGTGACCTTTCTACTTAGCCGCTGGCACCTTCTTGCTCGCCTTTTCTGAAGCTGCCGGTGTAGCCTCAGGTAAGCTGAAGGTTGGTGTTCCGAGAGTCCAGGTCTTAGGCCAATCAAGCCCGCTGCTGTCACCGTTGGGCCAGCATCGTGTTCCGCGCCCGTGGAAGACTCCTTTGCAGAACCTCGGGTATGAGGTTGCCGCATGGAAAGTAGCTCCAAGTGTGCATCCCAACGAGCTTCCTGCTGACCGGTGTATTTCTCACCACATGGCCATGTCCTCACTCACGGCGATCTGCTTCGAACAATTGCGCGGTCCCGGTGGTGACACACGACAATTAGTGTTTGAAGAACGGCAAGAATGTTCAGAAAATTCACAATGGAAGAATCTCACTCTCAAAATTATTACTTGAGAAGCTCAAGCCTTCTCAACAGCTCCCTGAAAATATTGGGGCCGATGCCTTGATAGAAATCTGGTCGCTATGACAGCACCCCTCCCAGAGTCAGAAGGTCCACAGGGCCAACAGGAGGTGTCAAACTCAAGTCTAAGTCTACCTATGCATGGCACAGCTAAAGGCAGTCTGCGGATTCAACACCGTTGGACTCTACTGAATGCAATGCCTGACCCTGCCTGCTTGGGGAGCTGTGTGTGTGTGTGTGTGTTTGTTTGTCTGTGCGTGTGTCTGTGGTGTGTGTGTGTGTGTCTCTCTGTGTGCGTGCGTGTCTGTGTGTGGTGCGTGTGTGTGATGTGTGTGTCTGTGTTGTGTGTTGTGTGTTGTGTGTAGTGTGTGTGTGTGTTGTGTCTGTGTGTCTGTGTTGCGTGTTGTGTGTTGTGTGTAGTGTGTGTGTGTGTGTGTTGTGTGTTGTGTGTGTGTGTTGTGTGGCGTGTGTGTGTGTGCGCGTGTTTTGTGTGTGTGTGTTTTGTGAGTATGTATGTGTGTTGTGTGTGTGACGTGACGTGACGTGACGTGACGTGACGTGACGTGACGTGACGTGACGTGACGTGACGTGAC